CCCAAAGGGACAGAGTAGTTGAACTTGTGGGCTTGGGACCATAGTCGCAGGGGACATCAAGCTCAATTGGCATAACATACTATATAAAACATTGTTCCACCTCCTACTTTGGCAAGTAGCAACTGGGATCTTAAAAGCCAGCAAACTGCCGTCTAGATGCAACGATGGGTCTCTCCTTGTCCAGAGCAAAGAAGAATGAAGAAAACCAAAATTCATGGAAACAAATAGTCCTACCAACTGGTACACCATCTGATCTGCAGCCTATATGACTATGAGACCAGAAGAACTAGATGGTGCCCGGCTACCAATGACATCCACTTGGAAGGGGATCTATGTAGCAGATCCTTGATAGAGAGGGAGAACAATGTGGAACAAAACTCAAAATCATTTGGAGGGAGGAAAAAAAAAAAAGGTGGAGATCAGGTTTGCTGGTCCAATAGAACCTGGTGGAACCCTAAGACTATGGCCCCTAGCTGTCCTTCAGGTCTGGAATTGAACCCACACCTGTGGTTTCCAGCCAAACAGAAGACAGGCAATGAGTTGAACATTTACCTGAGGTAGATACACTCCTTGGAGAGAACAATCACTGAGAAAGAAGGGCTGTCTACACACAGGGAGACAGCTTAGGGAGCAGGAGTCCACGGAGGGATAGACACTGGGGAGGAAGTGAGAGGGGAGCTGTTGCATTGTGGTAAACTGTGGTCAATGTCATGAGACAAAGTATATGTAAACTGCTGTATGAAAAGTGAATTTGCTCTGTAAATCGTCACCCAAATCACAATAAAAAATAAATAAATAAATAAAACCAATATACTGAAAAGAAAAAGACAGTAACTTTCAAAGACTTCATGCGCTTACTTCTAAAATGTCAATGAAAGGCTACTATGAATTACAACTGCCATCTCACTGAAGAGCTGCATTTAAACAACTACATACACAAGCCTTCCCAGCCCTAGGAAGGAGGAGTTACCTTTCTATCCCACTCAAGGTCTTGAAAACAGGTATTTAAGTGCTTATTGAAAAATTGTTTCTATGATCCTAACTTTCAGGACTGTGTTTAGCATAAAGAAAGAGATGAGAAAGTCACTCTGTTCAGGACAATGATGTATCTGAAATTACGATAACTCATTATTAACGTAGATTAGTTAACTATGTTATTTTATTTCCAATGGAGCCTGACAGCAACCCCTTTAGCCACTTAATCAACATTTATGAAGCACAGGCCACCACAAACAGAAAAAGACACTTCTCAGTAAATAACAGAGGCCAGCAAGGCGAGGAGCTGTAGCACAATGTATTAACCAGACAGACAGACTCTGGTGGTGAGCTAACAGAGAACACAGGAGTGGCTTGTCCATCTGTGAGCTCAGCTCACCAAGTTCCCATAGGAAGTTAGCATAACAATCAAGGATGCAGAAGACCTGAGTACTTTTGTCTCAAATCTGCTAACAACCATCTCTGTTGGGCCCAACACTCCCATCTCTTTATTTGTAAAAAAAAGTGACGCTACCTGCCATTCCAGCATTGTGTTCACAACAAATAAAGCTAGGTGAAAATGCTTTGAAAATTGAAAATACAGATTTTCACTATAATTACATTCTTACCTTAGACTAGGTTAAACTTACAGCCAAGTTTTTCATAAACTCAGAATTCTTGGTGTGGCATTTCTGTTGTTGCTGGTAGCTCCCATCCCATCAGTTCTGACTCACGGCAATCTCATGTACAAAGTGTAAACAACGTTGTTGGGTGCTGACGAGTCAATTTTCGACTCATAGCAACCCACTGTAACAGATAAAACTGCCCCATAGGGTTTTCTCAGCTATTCTCTTCATGGAAGGAGACTGACAACATTTCTCCCACAGAGCCTAAGTGGGTTCAAATCTCTGAACTCTCAGTTAGCAGGCAAGCACGTAACCAATGCACCACCCGCACCCTTTGTATAAATGAGAGCAGTCATTAGTGAGACTAAATTTAGACTCAAACGTGTTAGTGCTCTCATATGCTGAAATAAGAAAAAGCCTTAGCGTAGGTTTTCTGTGGATTTCTCTTTTGAACCCAAAGCAAGTTCCTTGTACCTAGGTGGCAATCATCAAATGTTAAAGGAATAAAAGAATAAATTCAGGTTCAGCTTTATTCTTAACCTCTCTGAACTCAATTTTCTCATCTGCGTGAAACTTGCCCAGCACTTGGTAGGTACCCAACAAATTAGCAAGTCTCACACTTTCTGGTCTGAGGCCCCCTTTTGTTTACATGTTTTGATTGTATCTACTGATATCTAATCTATCCATACTCATACTAGAAACTGAGACTAAGAATTCTTAAAAGTAATACACCTAGCACATGTTAACAACAAACCCACGTATTAATATCAGTAGCATTTAAAGGAGGGGGAGGGATCCACTGCCAACTGCATCAATTCCAACTCACAGTGGTCCTACAGGACAGAGCAGAACTGTCCCATAGAGTTTCCAAGGCTATAAATCTTTCTGGAAGCAGAATGACTCATCTTTCTCCCTTGGTGTAGCTGGTGGGTTTTAACTGCCATTATTTATGAAAATTACATTTTCTAAAACAAAAAATAAAGATTTAGTGCAAAGAGTTATCTTGTTTTTTATTTTTATAAACGTCTTTAAAAGAAAACAGCTGGGTTATCATTTCTCCTGCTGAATTTAATTTGTTACTATACAGCGTTTTAATTGAAGAACATGAAAAAAAAAGAAAAGAAAAGCTGGTCTCACACAGACACTTAGTTGGAAAAGAGCAGTGTATAGCCTTTTCAGGTCACGGGCTATTCTTCTGCGACACTGCGCTAAAATCTGACCAGTGGTAGTTCATAAAGGTTCGCTGCCACATGGTATCTACAACTCCATCAAAGACATTTTTTCCCCCACTGTTACAAGAAAATCTGTTGACTCATCCGCACCTTTAATGGATCTTTTTCCCACGCATGATTTGGTAACATCACTCATTGATTATTTGGAAAATACTTGTTCACTGAGCTATGTAAACTATGGACATGTTGATAATTTCCATTATACAATAAAAAAAAGCAACACATTCACTGATATCACCCTTGTTTTCAAAAGAAAGACCTTTAAATCCTGGTAAGCTGGTGAGGCCATGAAGGTAGACATAAATTTTCCAAAATTCTAATATTCATCTGTAAGCTCAACTTTTGTCACTGGCAACAATGACTATCAGTTCTTTTCCTTTGCTCATTTTCAAGGTGTCTGCCCAGACACCTAAACGTACATGAACAGTTTGTCAGTCCTTAGAAGTTAAAAATGTTCCATGTTTTGATCAAAGATTCTACACAAGAATCCTGTTGTTATGTGCCATCGAGTCAGACCCGACTCACAGCCGACCCCTCCTTGGGTTTCTGAGGCGGTATCGCTACAGAAGTAGATTGCCCCATCTTCCTTCCGAGGAGTGGCTGGTGGGTTTGAACCGCCAACCTTCTGGTTAGCAGTCAAGTGCCTTAGGCACTACGCTACCACAAGAATCCTGAGCAAAAGGGAAAAAATGCAGAACACAATTCTCTTAGAATCCAGACTCTGAGAGCCACTGAAGCAGAATGAACTCTCATAACTATTGCCCTGAGACATCTTTTAACCAAAAATATCCCCGGAAGTCTTCTTTAAATCAACCAGTTTAATTAGTAAACAATGTCTGCCATGAGCATTGGGATCAAATCCACAAAATCAACTGGAATGATAGGAAACTTAGGGGGCAATGACTTTGTGCTAATGGAAGAGGAACAACTCAGTAAAGGAGGTTGAGAATGGTTACACAACCTGAAGAATGTGATCAATGTCACTGAACAGTTCGTGGACAAACTGTTGAATCGGCGTATGTTCTGCTGTGGACATTTCCAACTCACCCATTTTATAAAAAAATGATGTTCCATTCAGAAAGTGGCTAGTTCAGTTCTCAACTCAAAGAAACGTTTTTCCATAAGACAACATACTTCAGTACACCAAAAGTGCTGTATGTATACATGAAGACCAGTACACCAAAAGTGCTGTATGTATACATGAAGGACTCAGCAGAGTACCTTAGTTCCTCACATTGAATATTAAAGACATAACCAATGGGCCAGAGTTTAAATAATAATACTACTGCTTCATCAATCACATTCTTAAGTGAAACCGGATTTTTTTTTTTAACTGCAAGTTGGGGGTGGAGAATAATGTGACAATTTTGATTCACACTAAAGTGCCAACAATTTTACCCAACCCAGCTTATGCACAATCTGAATGTCAACACAGTGAAACTGACAAGTACCATCTTAGTATAACCATGAAAACAGTTTTGACTTCGGAGCACCTCGGTGTCTCCCACCCTTTAAAAATTGCTCCAACTGGTGTTATTTTTATAGATTCCACGGGCTTTGGAGCCGAACACACCCAGGTGTTAATTATAAAACCTTCCTCAAGCAGGTAAAGACTTAAGTTTCCTCGCTTGTACAGTGGGGGATATCACCACGCACCTTGCAGTGTTCTCCTGGGGAATTAGAATAAATTAATGAATACACAACAGTTAAGCGCAGTAACTGACCCAGAGTAAACACCCAATTATAAACCACAAAAGAATAGGAGGGAGAGGAAACGTTACGGTTGCAAGGTAAGGGAGAAAGAGGGAAGAAAAAAATAAAGTGATCGAAAACAAAACTCACTGACCCACTGGAAGCAAACGCCTCAAACATTCATATCCAAAATAAGAGTTGTGGAAACAAGTGTTAGGGGAAAGGAAGGATCGAGATAATAAAATAAAACCCGACAAACATTAAAGGAAATATAACGGAACCTTAATAGGAGCAGCCAAACAATTTGCAGACACCCTGTTAGAGGGAGGTTTGAAAAAAAAAAAAACAAGATTTACAAAAGGCAGCAGGGCTCTCTCCAAAAATACGATGGGGAAAATGCATTCACTAAAATTCAATTACTACAAACTCCAAATTTTATTAGGCTAACAACAGCGACAACAACAAAAAAACTTACCAACATAAGCTCCTAATTCTTGCAATTTCCCCTTAATGGCACTCTGAGGGGGAAAAAAACGTGCACATGAGAAAGGCGGCTCTGAGGAAACCTGACGATTCCGCGGCGCGGAGGCAACTTTGATGGTGCGCACAGCTCCCCCAGCCCCTCGGCGGCCAGATGGGGGCGGGGAGGCACCTCGGCCCCCACCGCCCCGCGGCGCCCCCTCCAGCCGCGACGCGAGCGCGGCTCCCACTCGGCAAGCACGCATCCTTCCGTTTCCCAGGTACTCCTCCTTCACCCCGCAGTCCGAGGCCGCGTCTGCGCTCAGGCCCGAAGTGGCCGGGGCGAGGAGGCGCCGCTCGCTGACCCGAGTTCCGTCAGGAGCGTCCGTGGTGGCCAGGCCGCGGCGGCCAGGCCGGGCCCACCGTCCCCGTTACTCCTGACAACCGCCCGCCCGCCGCGGCCCAGCCCAGGGCCCGCTTCCCGCCCCCGCTCCCACCCGGCGCCGGCCGACGCGGGCCTCACCCGGATCTTGCGGCTGATCTCCGTGCCGATCTCCATGGCTCCGGGGCGGACGCGGCCTCTGCACTACGGCGTTTCGTTCACCCTGAGCCCGGCGCCGGCTCCACTCCGCAGACCCGCCGCCGCCGCTGCTGCTCCGCCCCCGGCCAGGCGTACGGCGTGCCCCGCCCCCGCCGGCCCGGCGCACGACAGCGAGCAAGGGCGCGTGTAGCCGTTCCTGCGCATGCGCTTGCCTCGGCCCCGGGAGCCTGAGCTCCTGCGCCCTCTGTTGGCGATGTTGTTGTTGTTGTTGTTGTTGTTGTTGTTGTTGTTACGTGCCGTGGAGTCGGCCCCTACTCATAGCGACCCCTCCTTGGGTTTCCGAGGCAGTATCACTACGGAAGTAGGATTGCCCACCCTGCCTTCCGAGGAGTGGCTGGTGGCGATAGAGAGGACAAACTCTCTCTCTCTTGCTGCCCTCCAGTGGGATCAGACTCACAGCTACTCCTCCTTGGGTTTCCGAGGCGGTATCACTACGGAAGTGGATTGCCCAACCTTCCTTCGGAGGAGTGGCTGGTGGGTTTGAACCGCCAGACTTCTGGTTAGCAGGCAAATAGAGGCCCCCTGAAACCCTGAGGCAGTTCACGTTCTCCTCTGTCCTCTGTGTAGCCATCTTACCCTCCTTTGGAAAATTAGGACAATTAAATGTGTAGCGAGAAGATCCTGGGATTCGATGTGAGATCCGGGTTCGAATCCATCCTCCACTTACTGTTAGTGTGGTATTGATCCAGGTATTTAAACTCTTGAGTCCTCGGTTTCTTACACGTAAAATAGAGACAAAATAACCACCTCTTAGGGCTTGCATTACATTTAAACTTGGAGGAAAGAGGGGAACATCCAGCAAACAGAACAAGATGACCATCCTTTCTAAGACTCTACACAAGCCCTGGTTTTCTTGCACCCGGTTCTGCCTTCCTTATCCCAAGCCCATCACTGGCCTCTCCCCAGGATCTATCTACCACCCCTCATCTTGTGCTCTGATCTCTCTGGACCCCTTTTGGAGGACTCTGTTATTCTCGGGACTTCAACTGTCACCTCTATGCTAATGAGGACCAAATTTTCTATCAAACCCAAGTTCTCACCTCAATTCCACTCCCAACCTTCAGTTGCCTACAGGCATTGGGTGATATTTTCTCCAAAATTAGAATGGAAGTCTTCATCATCTTCCTTTTCCCGCTCAGCGTGCTTGCAACTCCTGACCTGCCTACCTCTATCATTGCTGTTTACTATCCAGATTCGGTTCAAACCCACCGGCCACTCCTGGGAAGGAAGATGGGGCAATCTACATCTGTAGTGATACTGCCTCGGAAACCCAAGGAGGGGTCGCTATGAGTCGGTGCAACTCAATGGCACATAACAACAACAACAGTCCAGATTCACAAAACCTGGGAACCATGTCTCCTGGGTCCGGAGAGTGGTATGTAGTGGTTAACCATCGCTGCATAACAAATTACCACACGCTCAGCTCTAGTGACATAGTGGAAAAGGCATTTTGGCTGCTAACTGGAAGTCAATGATTCAAATCTACCAGCTGCTCCACAGAAAGAAAACAGGACAATCTATTTCTGTAGAGATTTACGGTCTTGAAAACCGAATGGGGGTCATTATGATTTGGAATTGACTCAATGGCAGTGAGTTTTTTTGTTTGTTTGTTTGTTTTGGTTTTAGTTGCCTAAAACAACACCTATTTATTTTCTCAGTTTCTGTGAGTCAGGAGCACATCTTAGCTATATCTTCTGCTTGGGATCTCAAAAGGCTGCAGTCAAGGTGTAGGCCAGGCTGTGTTCTCATCTGGAAGTCTACCTGAAGAAGAATCTGCTTCCAAGCTCACTCAGATCATTGGAAGAATGTATTTCCTTGTGGTGTTTTGAGCAGGGGTCCTGGCTTTTGGCAGGCTGTTTTCTGGGGGCTACGCTCAGGTTTGCCCTCAATGTACTTCTCTAGCATTACTGCTCAGTTAACCAAGCTGGTAAAGAGAGTCTCTCAACTCAGGAAGGGCCCAGGCCCTCTGTTAAGGACTTTTATGTGATTACATTGGGGCCACTCAGGGCCTGACTCAAAATCAACTGACGTTAAGACCCCAGTTACATCTGGAAAACCTCTTCACCTTTGCCATATTCCTTAACTGGAAGAAAGTCATGGGTCCCACCCACACTCCAGGAGAAAGGAATATACAGGCTGAATGAACAGCAGGGGCAGGAATCATGGGGGCCACCTAGAGGCTTCCTGACACATGGCCCCTTCATAATCTCACATAAGCCTTTCTTCTTCTGAATTCCCACAACATCTATGTCTAGTGTGACACTTAACATATTCTGTAATGTTAAGTGTGTGTGTCTTTTTCCTCCCTAACAAAATTATAAAGTTCTTATGAGTCTCTGTATTTCTCCAAAATTTCTTTCAGGATGCTAGACACATGGTAAGCACTCATTAAATATTTGTAGAATAAATGAAATCAGAAACCTCAATTATAAAAGCATTCTTGATGGATAAGTCCAGTGATCATGTTCTCATTCAGCATTGGTGAGTGGCAGTGGGGCAGAGTGCCTGAGAGCAACAAGGACATGGGAGTCAGTGTGAGTTTGTACCCAGGTCTGCCACTCCCTCTGAGTCCTTAGGCAAATTGCTTAGTCCCTCTATGCCCCAATTTACACATATGTGACATGGGTATGTGTGATACAGTGAATTACTTAATATGGCCCTTCTAGTCATGGTCTTTGTTACTCCCACCAGATGACTGGATGGGACCACGCAAATGTGAGGTCCTTGGGGCCCACCAAGAGAATTGTACAGCTTGTTAATAATGTAAATAAGGTACATGGCACCGTTGTGGGGGTAGGACCTGGAAATAAGATGTATGGGACCCTAATGTCGGCATCGACCAGTTTTGCCATGCCACTTGGCTTAAAATAAGCCATCCCACAGGTGGAAAGGGAGATCTCACTACCATCAAGAAAGAACCAGGAACAGAGCGTGTCTTTAGACCCAAGATTCCTGTTACTAGACCTCCTTGATCCAGGAGACAGAGAGAGAAAGCTGTTAACACTTGGCAGAGAGATGGCAGAGACACAGTAGAGAGATGGCAGAGAGATAGCACCAAGTGGCAGAGGCAGGAGAGCCAAGAGACTGGCACAAGACAGGGTAGGATGAGACGGGACTCCTGTCCACAGTGTGCAAAAGCTGAGTGCCTTCAGTGGAGGCTTGCTGGCAGAGTGAGGTGCCTCTCTGGGCACCTACCTGCAAAGTTGAAAGAGCTTTGTAATGCTTGCCTGAGCAGGGCTGAGGCCAGACAGCAGCCTGCCTCTGGCACAGTTGAGAGAAGCTACAGTATGGTTGATTGAAGAACCATATCCCAAATTGTTTCTGATTGTGAATTGAAATCTATTACTTCCCTAATAAGCCCCATAATTGTGAGTATTGTGTGAGTTCTGTGTGGCCGTCGCAACAAATTATCAACTCCAAAGAGAAGTAGAAAGTACCATGAATGGGATTGTTGGTGTCAAAATTGGTAACAAAGTTGGAGGGTGGCAGCATGTCTGACCTCCACCTCATAGGAATCAACTTTGGGCTGGGCTGTTGACATTCTTGATTCTCTCTCCTCCTTGTGAAATTACAGGAAGTCAGATGCCTCCCTCCACAACGGTTTTGCAGTATGACATTAGTTTCTTCTTCATAGGCCTATGATGAGGATTAAATAAGTTGATATTTGTGAAGCATTTCAAAGGGTATCTGGCTCATAGCAACACTGTATTTGTTGATTAAAAATTACATGCCTACACTGAGCCAGACACTTTGCTGGGAGCCAGAAGCACATGATTGAGGGAAAACAAGTCCTTGCTTTCACGATTCTCATAATCCAATGGCTAAAGACAGGAACGTTGTTTCTATTCTTTTACCTACTGTTTGGGAATTAAGAATAAATATACATCTTACCATTACTGGATATAAAATTCTCAGGCAATATTGAGAGACTGTGGAGAGAATGCTTTGTAAAGAATATAGAATGTTTTCATACAAATGTATTCAAGAATAGAGAAAGTTTTATTAAAATACATTCAAGATAAGTTTAACTTTTAGCACAATGTTATGGATTGAATTATGTTCCCCAAGAAGATGCTGAAGACCTAACCCCTGTGCCTATCTACACGACCTTGTTTGGGAGTAGGGTTTTCTTTTGTTATGTTAATGAGATCATAACTGGGTAGGGTGGGCTCTATATCTAATTCCTTGTGAATGGTGTCTTATAAGGACACAGAGAGACACACACACAAGGGGAAGACAGACGTCATGTAAAGATCCCTCTACAAGTCAAGGAATGCCAAGGAGGAAGGATCCTCCTCCAGAATTGATGCCCTGATTTGAATAAGCAGCCTCCCAAACTGTAAGACAATAAATGTGTGTTCTTTAAATCCACTCACTTGTGTTACTGTATTTGTTTATGGTAGCACTAGGTAACTTAGACAATCAGTTTAAAACTTTGGAAAAAGAGACATGGAGACTGCTTAAGAATTTGCCCCTTTAATTCTCCCAGAGCACAGAGGGAGCGCCCCCACTAAGTTGAGTTTGAGTTGCCTCCAAATCATAGTGACCCCATGCCCAGCAGAATGAACTAATTGGTTGCAGTCAAACTGTTGTGATCCACATGGTTTTTATTGGCTGACTTTTTAGAAATAGATTGCCAGATCTTTCTTCCTAGTCCATCTTATTCTGGAAGCTCCATTGAAACCCGTTCCGCATCAGAGCAACACTGAAGCCTCCCCTGACGATGGAGTGTGGCCATTTATGAGAAGCACTGGCTGAGAATCAAACCCAACTCTCCTGTGAGAAGGGTGAGAACTCTACCACAGAACCACCAATGCCTCTTTCCATGTAAGCTCTTAAACCACAGCACATCCTGATGAACGTGACCACAATGATACCCTAAGAGGAATCGTGGAAGGGACTAGGGATATTCGACTTGAAAAGACCTAGCTAGATGGACAATGACAACTCCTCTTCTTCTTCTTCTTCTTCTTCTTCTTCTTTTTAAATTTTATTGTGATTTGGGCGAGGACACTGATAATTCCTGTCAAACATGGAAGGGCTCAGGT